CATGAGAGCTTAGACCCTCTCCATCCCAGGACCTTGGAGCCCCCAAAAGCCCACCAAGAGCTTGAACCCCCCCAAAACTCTGAACCCCTAAGAGTTCCAACTCCCTCCAAAAAGATCTTGGACCCTCCCCAAACTACCTTCAACTCCCCCAAATTTAAGCCCCTTCAAGCACTTAAACCCCCCAAATTTCAACCCCCTCCTAGAGCTTAAGCACCCCCAAAGACCTTGAATCCTCTTCAAATGAGCTTCAACCCCCCCCAAGACCTTTAACCTCCCCAAAAACTTTGAACCCCCCCTGAGAGTTTCAACTCCCCTTCCTGCAAAACCTTGGACCCCCCAAAACCTTGGACAACCGCCCCACCAAGACCTTAGATCCCCCCCCCCAAAATGAGGCTGGGGGTGGTCCCAAAGAAGGATTTTGGGGTGTTGAGAGGGGGGTGTTTGGGAGATTTTGGGGTCAGAGGGGCTCACAGGGGTCCCGAGGGGCCTTTGGGGGCTATTCCTGTCTGGGGAGTCCCGAGGGTCTCACCCTTGGTGCTGATGCCAGACAGATTGGTGATTTTTGAGCATTCGCAGAAGTACTGGGATTGGGGTGGGTTTTCAGGGGGTCCCAGGGGTTTTGGGCTGTCGGGAGGGGCTGTACCCATTTCAGGGAGGGTGCATCAGTTTGGGGGGGTCCCGGGGGTCTCACCCTTGGTGCTGATGCCACGCAGGTCGGTGATTTTGAGCAGCATTCGGGGGAATCGCTGCGGTTGCCGTGGCCGCCGCCGCCGTGCGTAGACCCAGAGAGCCTCAAGCAGCGGCTCCTGCAGCCGCTCCACGCGCCGGGGCTGCTCCAGCTCCATCCGGTCTGGGGGGACACAGACCCCCGGGATGGGATCACCAGGACAGTGTCCCTGTGTCCCCATATTCCCGTGTCCCCCCTGTCCCCCCATCCCTCCCCTCTCCTGCCCTGCAGAACCCAGTGTCACTGTGTCCCCACATGCCCAGCATTGTCTCTCGTCCTAGGAGACGTCCCCACAGCCTGGTCCCCAAGCCCCCCATGTGCCCCAATACCCATGTCCCTGATGTCCCCACAATGTCCCCATGTCCTCAGTGTTCCCCCACCTCCTCACATTAGGCCAATGGCCCTGAGCAGCCCCATCTCAGTCCCATGTCCCTTATACCCCCTTATACCCCTCCTAACCCCAAACCCCTGATACTCCCCAAAACTCCTGGTGTCTCCCCAATGTCCCCCCTCGTGTCCTCACCTCCACAGATGAGGCTGATGGCCGTAAGCAGCCCCAGCTCAGTGTCACTGAGCTGCTGGGGCAGGAGCTGCCCCGCTGTGACCCCTATGTTCCTGATATCCCATGGCCCCCTGGTGTCCCCCATGTCCCTCCACCTCCACAGATGAGGCAGATGGCACTGAGCAGTGCAGTCTGGGTGTCATCGAGCTGCAGGGGCAGGAGCTGCCCCGCTGTGACACCCATATCCCGATACCCCCTGGGCCCCCTGTGCCCCCCATGTCCCCCCAATGTCCCTGATGTCCCCGATGTCCCCCCACCTCCGCAGATGAGGCAGATGGCACTAAGCAGCCCCGTCTCAGTGTCGTCAAGCTGCAGGGGCAGGAGCTGCCCCGCAAAGGCGAACACAAGGTCAGTGAGGGGCCCAAACCCTGCGTTGTGCATCTGGGTCCTGGTCAGGGTGAGCCCGTCCGAGAACGTCATCGTGTCCTGCTCGGGGGTGTACCGGGTACAGATCCGCAGCATCTGAGGGTCAGGGTACCCCAAAATCACCCAGGGATCCCAAACATCCCCCCCCCCCCAGGGTCAGCCCATCCCATCCTCATGTCCTGCTCAGGCTGTAACGGGCAGATCTGCAGCATCTGGGGGTCATGGGGGTCAGGGAACCCCAAAATCACACAGGGGTCACCGAAATCCCCCCACTCAGGGACCCCAAATATCCACCCAGGGACATCAAAACCCCTCAAGAGACCCTAAAATTTCCATAGGGGACCCCCAAACCCACCCAGCCCCTTTCCAGGACATCCATCTGTGGGTGGTGAGGTCAGAGCCACCATGGGACCCCCCAAGCCCCCCTGAGGTCCTCCCAAACCCCCTGAGGAACCCCCAAGCCCCCTCCAGGACCCCCCCAAACACCCTCCAGGACCCCACATCCCCTGATGCCCACCAGGATGTCGAGGCAGGCAGCCTTGAGCAGGGTGATCTGGTCGGCCATGCTGAGCCCTGTGAACCCCGGGAGCCGCTTCGCGAACTCCACGATCTTGATGATGCACTTGGTGGCCAGTTCACTGAACTTGTCCCACAGCCCCAGGTCCAGCTGCACACGGTGGTCTGCGCTCGAGTTCTGGGGGACATAGGGGGCCAGGGACTCAGTTATGGGGGTTTAGGGTGGTTTGGGACCTGCTGAGACCCCCTGGAACCACTCAAACCCAACTCGGCTCCCTGAACTTGTCCCCTAGCCCCAGGCCCAGCTGCACACAGTGGTCTGTGCTCAAGTTCTGGGAGGCACAGACCCAGTCAGGGTGGTTCAGGGTGGACTGGATCTTCCTCAGACCTCTAGGACCCCCTGGGATCACCGGGATCCCCCAGAGCCTCCTGGGAACCCCTCCCCAGCACCTCTCTGCCTTTGACTACAGCTGCCCCCAGTGTTCAGATCTGGTGTTTTGGGGGGCCAGGGGGTCCAGGAACCCCTCTAAGAGTCTGAGGATTGGGGTGCCCCCCCTCAGGGACCCCCAGCTCCACCTCCCACGACTGCCTAGGAGCTCCTGGGACCCCTCCCCAGCACCGTCCTGCCCCTGAACTTGCTCCCCAGCCCCAGCTGCCCCCCCCAGAGCTCAGATCTTTTGTTTTGGGGGTTCAGGGTCACTCAGCAACCTCTCTATGGATCCAAGGCTTGGGGTACCCCCCTAGTGCCCACCCAGGGACCCCCCGGAACCCCCAGCCCCACTCACCGTGGTGTACTTGCCCAGCTGGCACAGGGAGGGGAAGGTCTCCTGGTGGGCTCTGCTCACCCTCCGCACCAGCTCGGCCAACTCAGGGCTCAACTCGTCTCCCCCAAAATCCTCCTTCACCTCCTTCTTCCGCTTGTTCCGGTCGTGCCTCACGGCTGAGGGTGGCAGGGAATTTGGGGGAGTGGGTGGGGGGGGTTCAGGGGTGACCCCCCAGAGCCCTCACAGACCCAAAAATCCCCCCTGGCACAGGACCATCCCCCCCCGAGCTTCCCCAGCCCCACTGTGACAACCCTGGGACCCCTCAGCGCCACTTTGGGGGGGGGTTCCCAATTTTTTGGGGAGTCCTGGAGCTCCCTCGCACCTTCCTTGGACATCCCGACCCGGAGGCACTTCTGGAGGCGGCAGAACTGGCAGCGGTTCCGTGTCACTTTGTCGATGGGGCAGTTCCGCTCCCGGGGACACGTGTACACCATGTTCTTCTGAATGCTGCGTCGGAAAAACCCCTAGAATTGGGTGGAACGGGGGGTCAAGGGGGCTGGGGGGACCCCCAAAATGGGGGCAGCGGGAACAGGGCACTGGGGGTCCCAGTAAGGCTGCCCAGGGTTAACCGGGGGCTCCCCAGTGGCTACACAGGGGTCACTATTGGGGAGGGTCCCAGGGCTTGGGGGGGGGGGCCCAGCACCTCAGGGGGAAGGGGGGGCAAAAATGGGGTGAAGGGGGGCTAGGAGTACCCCCAAACTGGGGGCACCAGGAACAGATCACCAGGGATCCCAGTAAAGCTGCCCGGGGTCAACTGGGGGGTTCCAGTGCTTGGGGAGGACCTTCATTCCCTGGTGGGGGGGGGTCCCCAGAGTCCCCACTCCCCACACAGGGTCCCCATTGCCCCCCCACGGGGTACCCATTGCTACCCGCAGGTTCCCATGGCCCCAAGAGAGTCCCCACTGTCCCCAGGCCCCCCCCAGCCCCGTGCCCCTCCCATCCCCTCCCATCCCCCCGTGCCCACCTTGCAGCCCTCGCAGGAGCTGACCCCGTAGTGATACCCCGAGCTCTTGTCGCTGCACACGAAGCACGGTTTGTACACGCGGGGGGGAGGTGGCGGCGAGGGGGGGCCCGTGTCCCCCAAAACCCGCCCGGGGGGGGCCTCCAGGGCTGGGGGGGGGCACAAAAAGAGGAGGGGAGGGGGTCAGGCAGATCCTCTGAACCGCCCCCAAAAAGGAGGGGTAAAAGGGAGGGGACAGGATCCCCCTACGTTGGGGGGGTCGCCATGTAAACCCCCCCTTTCATCTCGGGCTCCCCCCTAAAACCAGGATCCAGGACCCCTGACCACCCCAAATCAGGTCCAACTCCCCCCCAAGGGGTCCCAAATGGTCCCTCAGTGGGGTCTCCACGTCCCTGTGCCCCTCTCCAAAAAAAACAGGTCCCTCTTTCTGCACCCCCAAACGTGTCCAGGACGCAGCGACCCCCCCAAAAACAGGGTTCAAAAATAAAGTCCCCCAAAAAAAGGGGACTCTTCATACAGCCCCCCCAGCCCCAAAACCTGAGATTCAAACCCCAAAACTCGGTGTAGAGGAGTTCCAGCCCCCAAAACCCCAAAACTCTTGCTAGGGGGGTCCCAGTCCCCCCCAAATTCGGAGAGGGGAGATCCCAAGCCTCCCCAAACGCCAAAATTCGAGTGGGGGGGTCTCAGCCCCCCCAAAACCCAAAATTCGTAGCAGGGGGGTCCTGAGCCCCCCAAACCCTCAAAATTTGTAATGGGAGTGTCTGAGACCCCCAATGTCCCCGGGGGTGCCACCATGGGGGAGTGGGGGGGGCATCATCAGTGTCACCCCACAATGCCCCCCTATGTCACCCCCCTCCCTGTCCCACCCCGGAACCCCAAAACTCGGGGTGGGGGGTCCCCAGTCCCTTCCACCCCCCAAAATTTGGAGACGGGGAATCCCGAGCCTCCACAAACGCCAAAATTAAGGGGGGGAGGTTCCCAGCCCCCCACAACCCCAAAATTCGGGGTGGAGGGGTCCCAAACTCCCCCTCGCTGTGCCGGGGGGGGTGTGACACGGCGGGGGAGGGGAAGGGCCCCCCCGCGCGCGGCCCGGGCGGCGCTGGGGGAGGGGCGGGCGGGTATTTTTTGGGTGGGTTTTGTGTGGTTTTTTCCAGAAAACCCAAAATTGCTGAAATTAAAGAAATTCCGGCCCCGACCGGCGCGTTTTTAGCCCCGGGGGGGGGGCCTGAGGGAGGGATGGGGCCCGCCTTGGGCGCGCACGTGCCACAGGCACCCCAAAATAAACTCCCCTTGACTCCCCTCCCCCAAAAATGGGGCTGAAATGGGGGCCACACCCTCCAGCCCCTGCGCTCCCCCCTCCACGGGGACCCCTCAAGTTTAGAGGGGGCTGGTTGTGCCCCCCCCGAATACTGGAGGGTCCTACGGAGGGGGACATGTTGGGGGGGGCATATTTGGGGGACGCTCCCGTGTCTCGTTGGATTTAGGGGCAGAAAACCAAAATTTAAACCCCCAACCCCACAAAACAGCCCCCAAAGTGGCTGCACCCTCGAGGTGGAGGGAGCCACAACGCTGTGGGACCCCCACATATCCCCCCCCCAACTTTGGGGGGACCTCCAACTCCAAGGCGAGGGTTTAAATTTGGACAGGGGGCACGGGAGGGTTCCCCCTCCCTGGGGTGGAATTTGGGGGACCGAGGGAGTTCCTCCCCAAAAAGCAGGGGGTGACGCCCCCTCCCGCCCTGCTGAGAAGGGGGGGCCTCTCCGCGATCCCCAAGGGGGGTCGGGGCGGTTTTGGGGCGGCTCCGCAGGGGTTAAAGTGCCACATTGGCAGCGCGGGGGGGGGACGCGGGGGGGCGGGCGCGGCCCCGACTGGAACCAGTTGGGCAGGGGAACTGGGCGTGGGGGGACACGGGAGGGAAAACCGCGCCACGGGCACGGGGGGAGCTTTAGGGGGGGTTTAGGGAGGGTTTGAGGGAAGTTTGGCGGGTTTTGGGGGTCCCGCCCCCCCCCAACCTGTTTGTGCCCAAATTTACAAGAGGGCGGTTCCCGAGGGCGCCCCAGGACCCTCCGCGTGAGCCCCTCCCCTCAAAACCAAGTCCCTCTTATTGCCACCCCAAAGGGCTCCAAGACCCCTCCTATAAACAGGGGTTAGGGCTCCCCGACCTCCCCAAATCGAGTCCGACCCCCCCCCAGCGGTTCCAAATGGCCCCTTAGTGAGGTTCACGTCTCTGTGCTCCCCTCCAAAACCTGGGTCCCTATTTCCGCCCTCCCAAAGGGGTCCGGGACCCCGCGACACCCCAAAAAACAGCGTTTAGGGCCTCCTGAGCCCCCCAAAAACAGTGTCCAGGTCCTCCAACCTTCCAAACCGAGTCCAAACCTCCCCAGAAGGGATCCCGAGTGGGTTCTCCACGTCCCTATGCCCCTCCCCCCCGAACCGGGACATCCTCAAAACCGGGTATTGGACCTCGCCCGCCCCGAAGGGTGTCCCCCAAAACCGCCCCCCCCTCACTCCCTGGCTCCCTCGTGGGGGGAGGAATTGGAGGTCCCACACCCCATTCACTCCCCCCGCGCTCACACGCCCCCCCTTGCCCCCCCTCCCCATTTTCCACACCTCTCACGTGACTCCCGCACATCCCCGGGTCGGTCCCGCACCCACGCGCGTCACTCACCAGGCCCCCCCCGCACCCACGCGGGGTGTCTCCCGACCCCCCTGGGTCGCCTGAGCCCCCCCTTGCACGCGCATTTGCACACTCGGACACGTCTACGCCCGCAACCCTTTCCACACCCCCGCACCCACTCGGGGACACGGACACGCCCCCCCGCGCACCCGCCGACCCCCCCCTCACTCCCCGCACACTCGCACTCGCTCTCACACTCGTTTGCGCACTCAGGATCACACTAAGAGACTCCCACGCATGGACCACGAACCCACTGACCCCCCCACGGACCCACCGACTCCTCCCGCTCCTTGCACACTTCCAGTCGCTCTCACACTCATTTGCACACTCAGAGACTCTTTTTCACTCTCCCACACCCACTCGCGGACCATGAACCCACCGACCCCCCCCCCCCCCCCCCCCCCCCCCCCCCGCCCTCATTTGCACCCTCACGCTCACAGACGCTTCCCCGCCCTCCCTCGCCCCCCACACCCACTCGCGCATCTGCCCCCCCACCTCCCTCGCCCAGGGCCCTCCCCGCGCCGCATTCCTCCCTCAACCCCCTCACCCCTGTGTCCCCCCGTGCCCCCCCGCTACCTCTGCGGGCGGGGGTCCCGCAGCCCGCGGGCACTAGGACCCTGCGGAGGGCGCAGCCCCCCCCGGTTGGTCACGTCGTGGAGCCGCCGCGGTGCCGCCGCCACCGCCTCCAGGCAGTCGAACATGGTCCTCCTGAGCCCCCCAGGACCCCGTGGAGCCCCCCGACACCCCTTAACACCCCCAGGCCCCCCCCGCCCCGTCGCGATCGGCCCCGACCGGCCCCGCTCGGCCCCGGCGGGGGCGGCCCGGCCACGCCCCCGGGAAAGGGGCGGGGCCTGAGGGGGCGGGACCTGAGGGGCGGGGGGGAGTTGAGAGACGGGAAAGGGGCGGGGTCTGAAATGGGGTGGGGCCTGAAAGAGGGCGGGGCTCGAGGGGACGGGATGAATGGGAAGGGGGAAAGGCGGAGGGGCTG